AAAACCATTAAGAAGCTACAAAAAAAAAAAAAAATGTAGTCAGAGCTTAAATGGAACTCCTTAAATCAGAGCTTGTTCGTGAGTTTTAATGGTCCAGTCAAAGTTCACACTTGAATCAATTTAGTCTGTGTAAGACGTGAAATTTGATGTTCATAGACTCTTTTAAAGCCACATCATATCCACAGTAGTGCTACACTGTTGCTCTGTCACTCTGTATCTCAAAAATAGCATACTTTAAATTTTGTACGTTTAAAGTGATAAAATGAAAAACAAAAAAAGTCATATACTCTCTCATGACAAGTAGGTCTCCTCTAGAACTGAATGGACGGATATATTTAGGCAAAATATAGTATGTCCCTGCGACGTCTGCTAGGCGTCACGTGTGTTTGCACGTGACTTATTAACCCGGAAATAGATAGTCTGACTGGGTGTGTTGATGTCAGGACAAAACGTGTTTATTTATTTTATTGTGGCTTTCGTTGTTTTGACACCGTAAAGAGGCAAAGCGGAGAGGTCCCTCCTTCGCCGGCGTTGTACAGTATGGACAAAGACAAGAGCAGCGATAACGTGAGTACGCTATTCGTTCAATGATATGGGTTTGAACGCTGCATGTTTAAAGGCCTTGGTTGCAGAGGAAATCATGGCTCCAGGCCACGTCACGGCTCTTTTTTGCTCTACGTGTCGCAGCATGCCCAGTGCTCCTGGATGGACATGCACCAGTACATCAGCGATCTTCTCTCGTCTGGAAACCAGTCCAAAAACTCGCCAGATGTGAGAAGCGCATCATGGGGGACGACGGCTGTTGCTGCTGGTGTTCCTCTCGGACTCAAAGCTTCCTCGCTGCAACCGCTGCAACCCCTTCAGCCTCTGCAGCCAGTCCAGGAGAGGAGAGAGGCAGCCCCGGGCAGACTGGTCCATGCTGGGGCAACACACAGGAGGGGAGAGGCCAGAGACAGAGCAGAAGGTGGCATCATATATGGCAGGCTGTTTTAGCATACAATCAAACCAACCTCATATCCCGAATTACTTTATTTCCTTTAAATTATAATGAACTCCATATCTCTTATTTAAGATATGGAAGTTTATTGATTAACATGGCATTCCTCCACACCTTTACTAAATATCTAATATAGTTTTATTAGTTTTAAATTGAACTGAAAGACAACAAACTAAAAATAAAAAAAATCAAACTTAAATTAGCAAATTTCTCCATCTTTGATATAATTAATATAAATCTATAAAACAGTGAGACGTCTGTGTTAAGATATAGCATTTATCTTGGAAATGAAAGTGTTATCTGGAGATGAAAGTCCATTACAGATCAATACGATATCAATATGTTGCCTGTCTTGATGAGTAACAGATAGAGCTTGACAACATGGACAAAAAAATTATTACAATGTTTTTCTCAATACCTGTTGCAATCTCTTCCCCAATTGGTAAAAGTGTTCACATAATTATAGTGCCTTTTAGGCGACATGAATTGTCTGCCTTATTAAAATTGAAAGTCTACAATTATTGTTTCTACTGACATTTTATGATTTTAAATAAATGTTTGAAATTGTTTTATGGTGTAGCACTACAGAGAGCTACACAATAATGTTTTTTTTTTCATAGTAGCTGTCGCGTATATTTTGATGTAAGAGGAACTTCTGCTTTTGCGATCCTTCCGTCGAATTCATTGCACATTGGTAAAGATGTGTACATTTCCTGGTTATTGCAGCAGAAGAAGCACCACTGGGGAAAAAAAAAACCCACATAAAATGCTAATTCTAAACTGAGCACATTTTATCAATGTGAAAATATCCCACAATAAGAAATTAAAAAAGGTAGATTTTGTTTTTTGTGGTCTAGTAAATAATTTAGCTAAATGCTAAAAATTCATGATGCCCTGTTTCCAGAGCTTTAGGAAAAGAAACAGGCCCACAGCATGACAGTTCCTCCACAATACTTAATATACACTTTAAATTCATCTTTTATTCTAAATGCTAAAACCACTTATCAAGTCATATTTCTTTACCAAGGGTACCAGTTAGTGGATTACTCTGATTAACATAAAAAGTATAAATAAATGGTGCATTTATTTGAGAGGAAGTTTTAATACCAATTGAATAAATATACTGAAATTACAAAGTAAAATTTAAAATTTTCAAACACATCTTTACTAGTGATCCCAATAAATATTGCAAGCACTGCACCACCTCTTGTTCCATGTCTCAGTAATGTTGATCTTCCTCGTTATTTTTTTTAGTTTTGGTAAAAAAAAATATGTAACACATTTTTCTTCTTGTTCCACAGGTTTGGATGAGCATCATGCCTGCACCTGCCCGGGCTGTCCTTTCTTTAGCTCCTCGTCCTCCTTTGAAACTTTAACACCCCGACAGTCGCTGTCCTCATCTCTACTAGCTCAAGCTTCATGCCAGCCCAAAGACCTGAGCATGAACCTGTGCTCTCCAGACACCACCGGCGTCGCGTCGGAGCAGGAATCCAGGCTGTCCGACCGACCACTGACCAACGATGCGGACAGAGGGACCCAGAGCCAGAACCAAAACCTCGACTCTCCCTTAAGACCCTCAGCAGGCTCTTTGGCTCATCTCTCCATGTTTCCCTGCTTCTGTTGCCACCGAGGAGTACAAACCTGCGCTCACCTCATGAACAGTCAGGAAAGCGCCGACTCCCCCTTTTCCCACACCCACGCCCACCATCACTTCCATCACCACCACTGCCCCATAACGTCGTGCGTTCCCTGCCCTCAGCTGGCCCACTCTGCACAGCTGTCTGCTGCCATTCCCTGCCTGTCCTGCCGATGCTCGCTTCCCACCTGTCCTCGGGTCAGCCGCCATCAGCACAGAGAAGGCCAGCAGCAGCAAGAGGAACGAGGAAGACCCCTTCTGTCTCTGCATCCCTGCATGCACTGCCCTGCCTCTTTTTCCAGACCCTCTCAGCTGCTGCAGCACCAGCGCTCCGAGCATGCCCAGAAGCAGTCAGGCTTCCTCTGCACGGAGTGTGGCCGGGCCTTCAACTCGCACAGCAACCTCCGCATTCACCTGAACGTGCACACCGGCGCCCGGCCCTACTCCTGCACCGACTGCGGGAAGAGTTTCAGCCAGTCAGGAGCTCTGAAGATCCACAAGAGGATTCACACAGGTGAAAGACCGTATTCCTGCGACTTTTGCGGCAGGGGTTTTCCCCATCTGGCGGGGGTGCGGGCCCACCTGCGGACTCACACAGGGGAGAAGCCCTACAGCTGTAGCCTGTGTGGGAAATGCTTCACCCAGTCAGGAGCTCTTAAGATCCACACCCGCATCCACACAGGAGAGAGGCCCTTCGTCTGCAGCCTCTGTGGGAGGGGCTTTTCCAATCGCTCCGGGATCCGCTTCCACTATCGAACAGTCCACTGCCTGTCAGCTGAACTCGACGGGGAGGCGAGACCCAAACCAACGGGATGCTCTCCGGGGCGTCCAAGAACTCTGCCTTCGACCAGCGGTGGACCAGTGACGGTCAGGGCTTCAGCTTCAGATCCTCTCAGTGCCACAGAACTGATCCCTACAAACCATGGGAGGATCCCAACTAGTGGAAATGAGAGCAGGTCACCAGCAGAAGGAGCGGGCGGCAACAGAGAGGAGTTGCCCTATGCCTGCGAGGATTGCGGTCTGCGTTTTAAAGACGCCCCGACCAGGAATCGACATCAGACCCTGGTGCACTACTCGCACGACGGCCGGGTGGAAGAGGAGAATCAAGGACAGAGGAGTGAAAACATTCAGAATCAAAATGAATGAAAGTGCATTAATGGTGTTGGTGTTGGTGCCTTCCAAAAGTATTGACATTTCCCAATTTTGCCAAATTACAACCACATGGTTCAGTGCTTTTTGGGGGGGATTTTGTTTTAAAGGCCTGCCCAAATTGTTTCATGAAAAGAAAGTGAAGGTAAATGGATCCATCCATTCTTACACCCTTATCCCATTGGGGTCGGGAGGGTTGCTGATGTTAATTTGAGAGTGTCAGAGTATTGCAGGTTCGTAAATTCATAATTCAGGCTTTAAAATGTCTTAATCTATCAAAACAGTGCAAGTTGACCTTAAAGACGTATTGAATTTTGTCATGGCAGGACTATTTAATCTGGTGTATTTTATTGGACTTTATGTCAATCAATATTACGTTCGCATTACGTTCTGTGAATCGAAGCTAATCAGGCTACAGCTAACAAGCTAATTGCTTGCTAATTGCAGCTTGTTAGTATAAGATAACTAACTAGTTGCTTTTTCCATCTGTCATAGGTAAGTGCACATTTATCAGCAGTTTGTCAAGCACCAGATTTACCTATTAAGAATTTTATTTCAAAAGAAGTTGCTGCTGTAGAGGGAAATACAGTTGAGAAGGAGAGCAGGGACTATCTACGCCGAATGACGTAAGAAAAAAAGATGAAAAGGAAGAGGCTTTAGCATTTAGTTAACAATGCTAAAGCATGCATAATGTTCTTTCCACTTCACAATTATGTGCTATTTAGTGTAGGTCGCTCACATAAACCCCCAGTAAAGCATGTTAAAGGCGTTACCGAGTTCTGCTCTTGTCAAAGTATCAAAAGGTGTGTACACTTTTGCACGGCCCTGGACGGATAGGGCACAGCAGCGAAATCTGTCCACTGTTTTGAAGTTGTTTTGTGTTTCGTTCAATGCTATGTGCAAGTAATTTGTCCATTTTATTTTATTTCTTCACATAGATCATTTAGACAACGAGGCAGACTTGACTGAGCAGTGATTTGTGTTATTGTGTGGCGCCTATCTCTGCCAGTTAGAAAAAAACGTGTTGTTCTTGATAACATTTTTAATTGTGCCTTATTCTGTAGTGAGAGAGGCAGCTTCAACACAAAACTTGTAAAAGCCCCAGTGTAAAGGCTAATTCAAGAAACGGCTGACTTCTTGTTATTTAAAAGACTGCCATTTATATTCAAAAGATACAATTCAATGTGATTAGAAAAAGTGCAATTTCCTGCTTTTTCATTTTTAGTAAATATTAGATATTGTATTTTTATACAAATTAAAGAGTGGACGCAGAGGTTATGTCACATACTGTATGTAACACACATATGAAAGGAAAATAATCCAAAATAGTTTGTTTTGTATACAGTTTTAATAATAATATCCTCTTTTAATTTAGTTTAGAACTTCTTCCTACTTCCAGGACAGTGTTTGTGTTGATGAAAGTCACACTGAAGGTATGTGAAACTTTTCATTTCCTCGTCACACTTTCATCCTGTATTGTTGTGCCTTTGTTGTGTTACAACTCCCAAGTACTTTAACATGTTATTTTTCCAGACAGAAAGTTACACGTCATTCAGTATTAGAAATCTGAAGCTCACAAGAGCCACCTAGTGGTTATATGTGGTCACAGCTCCAAACCAGTGTACCTTTAACAGTGTTTCTTCAAGAGTCTACAAAGCGTTGTGAACAGTATGAGCGAGTAACAATCGGTCCACTGTTTTGCTTTCACCTTTTTTAAAAGACGGATGTGTACATTTCTGTAGAAAGTGCAGCTTGTGATTGAACATTTCATTGGTAGACTCTCTGCGTCTCAGACGCAATCAAACCTGTAGTTTCTTTGTGCATTCTATGGAATAAAAACTGTACAAATCCATAACTTCCTGTAAGGAAATATTTTGTCAACATGACTCTCAGATCTTGTGTACTGACTGGTCCACCCTGATATCCTCTATGAATATGGGGGTGGAGGGGGGGGGTCGTCTATAGTGACTCCTGATGTCCTTGAACATCTCTCACTGACACGTTCACCCTGCTGAGCACGCTCTGGGTTAGTGTCCTCTTAGGATCTAAGAGATCCCCTGGTCCAAGTAGATCTGTCCTCCACATCTGATCGCCCTGCATTCACAAGGCCTCCTCATAGGTGTTCTTTCGCACCAAGGAGTCACTTGGCTTGGGCTCTGCGTAGTCTTCACTGGCAGGGCAAGGGTCGCTGGTGTGCAGGGCAGGGGTGCAGTAGCCATTGAACAGCACCCTATGTGAGGGGCAGTCGTACTGACTGTGAGCGGAGGGTGCATGAGCAGGAGGTCTGTGCATAATGCCGTGAAGCAAGCTGGGCGGTTGGTGCTCAGGGGGAAGCTCGCTGAATGGAGTGGCGTACTCGGGCTCCGGGGGAAGCGGCTCGGCGTACTCTGGAAGGTTGCCAGGTGTGTCGTAATGGGCGCAGGTGAACGGAGTGGTGTAGCCTTCATCTGAAGAGGGTCTGAATGTGGAACCGACCTTCTGTCCAACAGATGTAATGGCAGGAGCAGCATAGTCTGGGAAGACGAGGAAAAAAAAAAAAAAAAAACGTCACAAGTCACCTTGTTTTATCAGGTGCAGCTGAATAAAACAGAAATGTTTATTTCAGTGATCTAATTAAAAAATGAAATGCCTTCAGGACTAGTCACAGAGATGCATTTAAAGCATTTAACATTGGTAACTATATGGTGATGATTATTAAAATTGAATACAGAAACAAATACAGCTCTAGTAGTGCATTTCCCCTTAAACACAGGCTAATAAAGAGCAATGGATGAGAGTTATGGCCTTCTAGTTCTTATCTCATTTTTGATGGATTGTAGTATACAGACCCTCGACTGATATGTAATGATTCAGAGGAGCTAAAAAAAGCCCTCTAAGTATCTTTTTAGAGCTGTCCTCTGATTTGTGGCTATTGAATAACATAATTTAATATCCTGGACAGCTGCTCAGTGGCGCTTGGTCGCTCAGTTTTACGACAGCGTTTATGAGTGGATTTACTGGTTCTGGACGTGCTGATGACATGTCCAGATCCAGTAAATCCTGGAGGTCGTCAGTAACACTTTTTAGATTTAGTCCAACAGGAAATAAATGGATTGTGGCATAAAGTGTTTTTAAAAGCAGTGTAGTTTGACCTTTTTAGGACTCTCATATAATGTCTAATTGTATCACATTGTTAAAATAATTCATATTTCTGAATGCTAATAGATAAATAATTACTGCATTGATGGGCACAAATGGCATTATTTAGGTAATGGGAAAGTAAAAAGTTTGGAAGATTATTTTCTGCATAAAAGAAATCTTATCAGACTACAAATGGACCCAACTCTGAAGCTCACCAAGTAAGATTAACGTGTCAGAATCAACACTTTTAGTCACTGAGTATCTGTGTGAAAAGCTGAATTACAAGCCGAGGGGCTCGATGAGGCAGCGATGGGACTGGCGAGAGAGGGGGAGGAGGGGGGGAGGCAGCCTTTATCAAGCTCCAATTAAAGGGTCTCTTTCAAAGCGACTCTGCGGTCCAAAGAAAGGAATGTTTATGCAGAGACTGGCGATGCGCTGAGCCAGGACAAAGAATGGTTAGGCCTCAAAGAGGGCCTGGTTGGAGCTGCTGAGAGTGACCGCTGATGACGGAGGCAGGGCCGGGTTGACCGAAGAGAGCAGAAAACCTTCCTCAGTTCTCACCGTTCAGAGGGGGGCTCGGCAGAGCGTCGTGCACGCTGCGCACCAGTGGGTAGGAGATGAGCTCCGACTGTGGACACGGGAGACTCTTTGCCTTAAAAGCCTGACAGACAACTGATGTAAAGACACACAAAGTCAAATTTAGCGTTTTCGACTCTGGACTTGAAATATGTTCCATTTATGAGCTTAACTCACCTGTCGGTAAGGAGTTCTTCATTACAGAGTCTTTTTTCCTGGCAAGAGAACATATGAAGGTATTTTACAACTAGATACAAGTTTTATGGACTTTAGCAAGTTTCCATGTAGTATGGTAGTAAAATATTCCTCATCTGTGAACACAATACAAATGAGAAGATTTAAATAGGTTATTATAGCCATATACTGTGCTGGTCAGACGTTAACATAAACATGCACTTATGATGAACATTAATGTCATATTGGGGGCTTTACTTAGAATTGTTCTTTTTCCAGTATTAAATAAAACTGAGTAAATAAAACGGGTCAAAGAACACATACAGGACTCAGATTTTTCTGAAGCACGCTCTGAAACACTCTGTTGTGTATTCTATGATGCACAGCTGGAACATGTGCATTAAAGCTCTTCCCAAATCATAAAATTCAACGCCTCACAAGTGGCAGTAGGAGTTCCACTGGTTTTGAAGTCCAAAAACCCTGTTTTAGACTCATCTGTTCTGATTTTTCTCTGCATCGTCTCTGGCAAACTTTTAACCAGTCTTTATATTTTAAAGGTTTAAAGGTTTCTTTCCTTTAAACTACTGCAGTCTCTTTCTGATTGTACAGGCGAATGATGACATGTTAGGGTTTGTGGCAGCTTCTCTTAACATTTTGATTTCAGGGTTACATATACAGCTGGAAGTGTACGAATATTTTTGAGCCTTTATGTGTCATTTTGTGTTATCGAACCACCCTGCGAGAAGAAATGTTCAAATGCGTCATTAAAAGCCCCAGAAAATACGATATTCATGCCAATGGAGAGTGTATGCAATCTTCTTACTGGAACTGTAGAGTCAATGAAAACAGCTGAAGGATTCATTCTAACAATAATCCTGCAGAAAGTCAGAAAGTGGACGAAATGTGCAAGTGAAACCAGCGCAACATTGATGCACAATACCTTCGCTTCCACCAGATCCCAGCCAGTAGACAGCTCCCACACATCACCAGTCCCAGGACCACTCCCACCGCTATGATCACTGGCTGACTGTGGGCTGCAGCAGAACACGTGTGGAAGGACAGAGTGAGGTTTGCAGAAACAGACTCTTAAAATCAGTTTACATTGCTTCTCCTATGCAAAGTACATACTTAGCGTTGTTTCCACAGACAGGGCTTTCTCAGTGGGAGTGGGTGAGGGGCTTGGGTTCAGGGTATCCACGTTAAACTTGATGGACGGAGACTCTGCTGGAAAAGAAGCAGCGGTTTTACCTCCGTAACACTTGTCAGTGAAACTGTGCGAACAGATAATGTGTGACTCGGGCAAACAGGATGTGCTCACCACCGGGAGGCCGTGACCTCAGTGTGACCTTGGCAGCAGGGCAACCTAAGAGCTGAACCCGAGCAGAAGCTCTGTCGTGCCAGCTCAGAGGCTGAAGCCGAACAAATCGAGCAACGACGGCAGGAATCAAGCTGTTGAGCACCGTGAGGTGGCCGTCCGTGTATGCCTGAAACACCTGCGAGCGAATAAGGAAAAAGCAAGATAAATTTAGCAGCCGTTAAAGAACCCCGCAGGATTTATACTGACAAACGTTTTGTTACTTTTGCGTCTCCAGCAGTTCAGTGTTGGAAGTAACATTTAGGTGCTGCTCGGCTGGATTTGTTCGTTTGCCGTACTCTGTATTCATGAATAAGACGAGCTGACTGCGCGTCAGACACATGGTGGGACACCAACCTTTTTTTCTTTGCTCGTAGCATCTTTGTAAGTCTTCCAGCTCTTTCTGTCCTTGCTGAATTGCAGACTGTAAGATTCCACGTAGCTCACCGACGATCCTGTTGTCACTAATCCTGGGGAAAACAACGAGAAGAAGCATGCACATATTTAATGTGAGTTCTTTCCAAAAAAACAGCAAAGATGGAGCACTAGTTTCTCTCCTAGCCGATATTCTTGCCGCTATGAACTGTTCTTCAGCCTCCCATTCTCTCCCATTATTTTAAATGATGTAGTCCTTGCATTTACTACTGCCACCGACTTTGGATATCGTCCTGGTTTCTTTCTCAAAATCATTGAGAGCTATGGGTTCCACTCTTTGTTATGTATTTCCTAAAGAAAGTCGTCCTGGTGCTTCTGTGCTGAGATGCATTTCTTTTCCTAGACGAAGCAACTGACAGTGATGTTACTGTTTTTCTACTAGCTGGCCCAGCATCAGTAATACAGATTTAGATTTGGAATAATCTTTTATTGTGACCAAAATAGAAAATACTCCTAGCATGATGATGTAATGTTTGTCTTCTATGTCTGTGCTGTAAACTCCCCTGCCCCCAATAACTACATTATCTTTCTAATAGAAAGTGACTTTCAGCTTTCTTTCTTTAATAGGTGAAGTCACTGATTGGGCCACTTCTGCCAACCAGTTTTCCCACAACAAAGAACTCCTGGACCATCTCTGTTTGCTCTGTGACTCCTTCTTGCCCTTTAACCCCCTGCTGGTTGTGGAAAATGGACAGTTATACTGGACTGGATTCTGCTTTAGGCATCTTCCTGTTCAAGCTGTCCCTGTTGCGGCATGCTTCCTCAGGATGACGGATTGCTGCAAAGCCAAAGACCCTAATAAATTGGCTGGCCTTCTTTAGGTAGAGAGAGTAAAGTTGACTTAAATTACTGTAATATTAGGACCAAATTGGACAGTTTCCAATTGTAATCAGACAAATGAACTGGATGGGGTTTTACCATTTAACCTGGACACAGATGGGTTCTGAATAAATGGAGGTAATGTTAGTTATTACAATACTTAATATAAATTAACTTAATTGACAAGAATCAGAGGAATTAGAGAAGCAAAAAAAAAAAAAAAATCTCTATATATTTTTTACCCGTCACAGTGCTCCTTTCAGCCAGTTCAATCTCCACCCACGGGTTGGGATCCCTGTGGTCTGCTGTCCAGAGCAGGAAGTCGTGGCTGGACTCTGTGTTTCTGGAGGCTGAGAACGCTGTGTGCTCTCGACTGTTTTTGTCCCAGAAAGACGATGCATTTAGAGCAGAGACAGCCAGGATGTTGCTACATTCTGTTTGGGAATGAGAGGAAAGGAAGAACGTGTCCCATTGTTTAACAGAAATGCTTGTGTCTTAACTATGTTAATAATGAAGAAAATTTTTATGCCATGCTGCAGAAAGTGGACTGCAAAGGAATTAAGAGATGCCAAAATGTAAAACACAGCAGCTTACCACGGAAAATAAACTCAAGGAATGTAAATAATGCCCTGCTTGAGGGTGAAACCCTGATTTGTGAAAAAAAAAAGAAAAAAGGTCCTACCTTTGCTAAACAGCAGCTTCTTATCAGATAATGACCCCCTGTCAAAACGGCATCAAAGAAAGGTCAAACAAGCAGCTGGCAAACATCACTGTGATCTTTCATTGTGATAACAACGCAGGAACCAACGTTTTAGAGAGGACTCCGTTAGCGAAGGTGGATTCATAGAGCGTGAGACTTCTCCCCTGATTCACAGTGATCCGGCCTCCCAAAGCGTCAGACGTAGCTCCACTGTGGACCGCAGACTTGCACAAAACCGACGTCTGTGACATTAGAGAACAAATATAATACTTTAAAAGTTGGGTTACGTTAAATACAGCAGAGTTTGGTAAAGGAAAATGTGTCCTTACGTCTCTGTAGCCCAGTTCAGAGTTTCCCCAAATCTCCCCCGGGACATTCTTGCATCCAGCTGGGCAATACACGCTGAGGAGCAGAATCACAGATTGGAAAGAAGCTCCACAGAGACACAGTGTCTTGCAAAAGTATTCACACCACTTGAACTCCTCTACATTTTGTCATATCAAGTTTTAATATATTTTACCTAACAGACCAGCACAAAAGCAGCCTGTAATTGTGAACAAGAACAAAACGTGGAACTAAAAAGCTAAAAAAATTATCCATCTTCCCATCAGTATCCAAGGTAAAGTGTTCCCACAGTATGATGTCGCCACTGCCATGTTTCACCAAATGAATTGTAACTGCAGCAAAATATGGTTTACGCAGTATTACAAGAGCACTGCTTGGTGTTGGTCAATGAAAAATTATCCAAACAAAAGTTAATGTTATGCTTATAGTGCAACAAAATGTCAAAAACTTCAGCAGGTTGGATTGTGTCAAACTTACCTTAAATGCTGGAAACTAAAATGGGATCCTCTTTGTAAACAACTAATCAGATCTGTAAAAAAAAAAAAAAAAAAGAACAATCAGATGCTAAAATTAATCAACATTCATGAAAGGTGAAGAAACATGGAAGTCTCTGGCTTACACAACACCCACGCTCCCTCCACACACACGTTTGCGTGGCTATCTTTGTGGTGACTTTCCATTGACTTCCATTCATTTCTACAGCCTAAACCTTATCCTAACCCTACCCATCACATACCTAACCCTAACCCTAACCAAAACTCAATTCACACCTTAGTCCTAAATCTAACCTCTGACCCAAAAACAGTGTTTCCCCTTGTCGGTCCCCACAATGTATGTGTCAGGAAAATGGTCCCCACAAGGTATTACAAACAAACGCACACACACACACACGCCCGCGCACACAGAATCATACAGCACAGATTCAGGATGAGACAGTCTGGCACGCTCTAAGCGTTCTATATTAGGAGAAAGGCAGTCGTCTCTGTAATGTGACTGACGCCTTTGTTGCCGTCCCTTAGTCACACAACACGAGTCTCGCCAGCAGCTCTTCTGCCATCATAGTTAACAGATAGAGGTCTGTGTCTCTGCTCAAGGCCTCAGCTCCAGACGCCGATGGATTTTATAAACAACTAAGTGAAAAACAGGAAACTATGATACAAACCGCAAATACAGAGAACCTCACTGAGAAAAGAGGACAGTCTCTCTCATTATATCATAGCAATGAGATCCAAACAATTATTTGCACAGAAAGATCCAAAACACCCTAAAACTTTATTTATGAGCTAAAATATCCAGAAGTATGTTAATACTTAAACCCCCCCAACGACAGATGGTTTGCAGCAGGACTCGGCGGCGCTTGGCCTTGTTGGGGAAAAAAGGGGAGGTGAATGACCTGAGACAGCCGATGACAAGGAGACTTACTCTTGTTTCTGAGTAAACGCAGCAATGGAGAATGAATGCAGATAAGCCGAGACACATACACAGTAATACATGCACACACACGTACGCACGCACTCACGCACACAGGTAAACATTAACAGAACAGTGAGCATGACAAAAACACCAGTGAAAGCTTGTAAATAAGAACGCAGACAGCTGGTAATCATGCATTAAATGAAGCTGGGATTATGTGCTGTTCGTGTCCTGTAAGGGCAAAGCACAGGAGTAATACAGAAACTATGTACTCCAGGACAGTGATAGCATACCGTCTCTCTAAACACCACTTGTTCGTATTGCGTAGCCTAATAATTAGTCAGAAAACAGAGGGATTGCTGCAGACGTACCTGGATGCTGGTCCGTTGCATAAGAGAGCAGGAACCCTCGTCCAGAGCGGTGTGGGCCAGACATGAACGTTACCGTCACTTCGTTGGTTTCAAGAGTCACATTCTTCATGGTTGCATTAAGCTTTCCACACACTGGGCCTGGGAATAAACAACCAGTCAAAGCACAGAAAAACAACAAAAATCTTGAGTAAAGTTAAATTAGTTCACTCATACCCCTTGGACTTTTGTACATTTTCTCAAGTTGTGTTTGACTTTCTGTTTTGCTTGTTTTTTTTTTTTTTGTTTTTTTTAGAAATGTTTTCCAATTCAAAATCAGAGGGAGTGCGTTTGTCTTCAGTCTTCCTATTTGCAAAACCACGTTTTGTTCAGACAAAGCTGTGGATGTTTGGGAATATGCCCCATTGGCTTTTCACATGTAAAAGTGGACATTTTTTTTGCAATCCCTATTGTGAAACACGGTGGTGGCAACTGTCATGCTGTGGGAATGTTTTTTTTTTCTTCTTTTTTTTTTCCGACAGGAAACCAGGAGCTGGTTGGGTTTGACGGGAAGATGGTTGGAGCGGAAAGCAGAATAATCCTGGGCTAAATGCTGATACTCACCACTCTCTGATTTTTATTTGTCAAACTTTTTTTTTATTTTATTCTTTCTACTCCACAAGCACACACTACTTTGTGTTTGATCACATATAAACCTAATAAAACACATTGGAGTTCAGCGTTGCAGCATTACAACATTTTTAAAAATTAATGGAGCATAAATAGTTTTGAAAGGGCTGCTTTTCTTCAGCCAAAGTAAATGTCTTTTGATATTTTTACTGCTTTTTCATCTTCTGAAATATGAATCATTAAGCCATAAAAAGGTTTTCTTGACCCAAGGGATGTTTTGTAGTACTAGTCTGTCTTAAAGGCTTCACTTTGGGCACAAAAGACTACTGCATAAAAACTGCTCCAACAACAAAGGGATGATGAATCTCTCAGGTCTTCACTTATTTTACAAGCACATACTGTTCACTACAGTACATTGCCAGGACTAGAAAGAGACTAAGTCAAACAGCTAAAGTCAAAAGACAAGGAAAAAAGGTTTTAGATCCAGAGACTGAAAAAAGAAAAGATCTGGCTTTATGGAAGAAAGAAAAAAAGGTATCAGTCGTTAAAAACGGTCTATTTCTTTCTTATTTATTCTTCAAGAAACCTCCTTAAACCTCTGGTGCTATCCATTAATAATCCACTTTAATAAATGCAGGTACAGAATATATACTTATTCACAATCACAAGCAAACAAATAAGCTACAGATACACTGGTAACCCTCCACTGATAGCAGACAATTATTTTATATCTTTTTAATGACAATAAATGCTGCAGTATCAGTTGAGCTCAGAAAAAATGATATTTCTCACAAATCCCTGATATTTACAGATGATCTACATTAGCAGCAAAAGACAGACAACAGTGAACGCTTTGGGGCTTAAATAAATCCAACAACCTTCAGCACAATACTTATATCGTCATAATCTCCCAGCCTTGATTTTTGGTGCGCTGTCAAATATCTGTAGCCTCGGGACACAACCTGATACAGCTGGTTGCAAAACGTACATGTGCTTGTTGCAAAATAGGGTTTGTCTCCCATCGATGTTTCAGCTAAATGGCACGCTATGACTATAGAGTCATGCCGGTAAGTTCTCTAATAACGGCAAGGAGCATTTAAGTCTGTCAGCAGGTATGCCGGCAAAACGCTGACTGCGTCTGAGGTCACAACGAAATCGTAGGTGAACTCACCCAGTCTCCGTTCTCCGCTCTTGCCGGTGATCACGATGGATCCGTTTCTGCAGCCTGGGCTGCTCTCGATGTCAAAGTCTCCAAACAGCAGGCGCAGCGTCCGGCCCTCCTGCACGCGCAGCCTCCATTTACACCAGGCGTTGCTGGGATAGGTGCCCGGGTAGTTGGGAGAGCCTATGGTACCTGACTCTGTTCCCAGCAGCGCGTGTCCACAACCGTTACCTAAGGGGAAGCAAGAACGAACTTAAGAGGGCAGTGAAAATAAATAGTCAATAAATGAAAGTAGCATCCCCACAGCATGATGCTTCCACCACCAGGTTTCACTGTGGGAATGCAGTGTTAGCTTTCTGCCACACTTGGCCACAAAGATCAAATGTAGCCTTTGAAGGACTATCGTTTGTACTCGGTATTCATGTGGACAGATTTTACTCTCAAATCAGCTCTGAGAAGTGAATTATTGGCTGCACTTTAAGCAAAGGCAAATCGTCTTAACCGCAGACAGGCTCGTCATAACTTTCCTAAATTAAATAAAGTGAATATTAAAGGCTTTGGTGAAGCATTATTTCAGGACAAACGAATAACAAGTCCAATCAAAACAGGCCCTGCAGACCTGGACATGTTTATATTCATAACTGAGTGATGACACAACTAATTGTGAAGGAAATTCCTCTAGACTATAGCATAAGCTGAACAAGTTGCCAATATACTTATATTAACAAAGGTTAAAAGACAAAGAACTGGATATTTTTGGAGGAAAATCTATTCATATGGAAAAAAAACCCCCAAAACATTTCGGCCTTTAATTTGTTACATCCTCTGACCTAAGTTCTCTGACTAAAACGCTTCTACTGGAACAGAAAACACAAATATTTAGATACCTCGTCTAATATCTGTGTTACTCATAGGAAAAGAAAAAAAGCCAATTGAGTCAGAAATTAGTTCTCTGGAAACTGTTTGCGCAAATTCAAGCCCCCACAAAACCACGGAGGTGACATGTTCCGAGAATGGTCAAAACTTGAGTGAGACATCGAGGCCAGACTGAGCCTAAACATCACTCCCACCCTCCTCCGCCCATCCATATATGGCTCCCAAACCCCCAGATAACCTTCCTCTGCCCCTGTGTCACACATCCTGCATCACACTGTCCACCCCCAGATCCCCCCCAACTTCCCAACAGCTCTTCAAATCCCACCACAAACCTTTGAATGCTGCTTCCCCTCCTCAGTTCCCCCAAAGGATTTCTGTGGAAATGCCAGAGTGACATGCTGTTGCTGTGGGCACCAGAGCATGGATCTGTCACTTTCCGGTGGGAGGCCACAACGGCGGCAGTGCCGGCTGCGTTCTGGGTGGCTGCTAATTGTCTCCTGCTGGCTGAACCCCTTCACCTGCAGTCACTCTGACAAAACCCGTCTGGTTCTGATTGCATCAAGGAGCCGATGCAGCTCCTCGCAGAAGTATTTATGCGCCTATTAAACATTTTAGAACCGCAAACTTCAAAAGCACTTTATTGGGGATTTTATGTGATAGACCAGCAGAAAGCAATGCAGAAAAGTGTCGGGAAAATGAGAATATCGTTCAAATAAAAATGAATCTGTGCTCAACACACTTTACTTTGATAATACAAAAAAAAAAACAACAACTCACCAAGTATTAGTAGAGAGAGTCCACTTGTGTCTAATTTAATCTCAGATTAAATACAGCTTTTCTCTGAAGGTCTGAAGTTTGTTAGAGAACATTGGAAAGCAAACATTATCGTGAAGAGCAAGGAATGCAACAGAAAGGTCAGGGGTCATAAAGTTTTGGGGATGTTTAGAAGGGTTTGGTTATAAAAAAGAAATCTTTGAACATCTAAAGGGCACCGATTAATCCATCATCTGAACAATATAAAGGGTAAAATGACAACGGCAAACAAAGAGAGTGTTAATAAGATAAGTACTGTAGCCATGGTAACACTGGAGGAGCTGCAGCAGGACACAGCTCTGGTAGAGAATCTGTTTACATGTGAACTCTGCAAATCTAGTATATTTTGTAAAAGTTCAAAGAAATCCAAAAGTATGTAAAAACAAGATGCCCACGTAACATGAGACCAAAACGAAACCTTCTGGCCAGCATACATGACACCGTTTGTGTCGGAAAGAGACATTTTAGAGAAATTTAACAATTTCCCAGTGGGCCAACATGATGGTAGCAGCATCGTGCAGTGGGAATGTTTCTTCAGCTGTGAGAGAGAAGCTAGTTAGATGGCAAGCTGGAAATTCAAGCCACACTTTTGTTTGTAGAAAGAAATAACTGAAATCCTGTGTTTATGTTGTACACTTATGCACTAGTGGGAGGTGCAGCATGACTTCAGCTTGTCCTGACCAGTTCAGGGAGATCAACAAAACAGGAATTTAAAGTGTTAAATAAGCAAATGCTGTTTTTTCCCCTTTATTTTTTTTTTTTTTTTTTTTTTTTTTGCTGGCAGGTTCTTGCAGGTCCGCACTGGCAAACAGGATGTTCACCTGTCCTACCTGTCACTGCATAGGATTATCCCTTACAATCTGCCAATCACTGCAGAGTGAAAACAGAAAACAGGCTGAGGTAGAGCTCCCAAAACCTGTCCCAGCCACAGCTAATGAGGATTACTATTTCAACAACATGATTCAGAATCTGCAATTCACCCTGGACTTTAATCAGCTTCCGATATGTGAAGAAACCAAAGCCAGAGAGCCAGACGAAAACAACAAAGAAGATGATTTGTGGTGTGTAGTCATAGTCTATGCTGGAGTAATCATTTGTCTCTCTTTGCCTCTGTGTGTAAATATGGTCAGTGTGATTCATGCTGCTGAATGCAGTTTAGAAAAGCCCGTGGTAAGGATAGCTGGGAGCAGCAGGTAAACACATAGACAAGGAAGAGTATTCAAAGAATGTGTCCATCATACCACATGGGCGACCTTTGTGCTTTATAAGATGCAGCATTCTACAGTCCTATTCATAAATACATTAATCAAAAGTTGATTTTGACTCATACACAGCAGCAAATATATCCCAACTTTCAGAAAAAAATGTTAGCTGGGAAACAAGTTTTTAAATATTTGTTTCAGAAATGAGTTAGAAAGTTAGGATAATAAAAAAAAAAATTAAGCCACGTACTAAAGTTTTACCTGAACTCTTGTCACTTTTCCGACGTTATTAACAAAGTGTTATCTTGTAATAATAAACGTTTACCAATATTTAGTTTTTAGTTGTTACTCAGCAAAAAGCTAACGTGATGTTAGAAATTCCGTGTCACGTCGCAATAATTTCTGTCTGTTTGTTTAACCAAAAGCGTCAACAGAAAAGGGGCTTTTTCTTACCCTCCTGACAGCGAACATCAACTAAACAGGCGCAAAAAGTAATCCAAAAACTAGTAAAAACAAACTTCATTCCATCCTCGATGATTTTGCTCTTTCCAAGCATGATTTCCAGCCCTGTCCAAGGAAAAAAGTAAGGTGCATACTTCGATGGGTCGAGTTCTCGCTTCAATAAAAACTCGCAGCAGAATATCCTGCGAAATTACTATTGGCCACGAGTCGTAAACTCGACTTCCTATTGGTTAGGATGACTGTCAATCAAATGATCCCGGGCATTCCATTCTAAATGTATGGGACTCCAAATGTGTCTGTATTTGTTCACGCCAGCACAGTGGTTGTAGAGGTTTTCATAGCACTACCTGTGTAAATGCCATATTTACGAAAAGCAGCATACCAACAAACTAGCTCAAAGACAATAGAGAAAGGAAAGAAATAATTTTGTCCACGAGTAAAACAGTCTACCACTATCCACTGGGACTACATTTTCACATGAAGAAAGCAGTGAAGTTATGTGGTCCAAATATGATTTCAACTTGAAGTCCAAGAGAGGACTTCAAGTAGAAATATTATCCTCCAAAAAAGGTAAATGACAGACTTTTAGAAGTTATTCCAGCAGAACAAATAGATACAAACTAAAGTCCCAGGAAAAATACTAAAAAAGGAACGTGAGAAGAATCATCTAGCACTATGTGAGCTATGCTGTCCTCACTCGGCATCACTAGTCAGCCCATGCTTACGAATTGTATCCCACTAAACCTTATCAAAAGTCGAAAACGGTCCATTTAACTCGCAAAATCACAACGAGCAACAATTATTAATCCCTATCGTGTTGCGTTTGCTCAATAGTTGTCATCAACTTAAGTGCGAAACTGCCATCTACTGGTGAAATACAGGCAACAGCAGAACACGTCAAGCTTGTAGTCCCAGATCACTAATAAGAATATGATACTCACATATTACTGAAGTATTTCTTATGCAGTGTTTTCTGCTTTCTGTTTGTGTGTGTGGAGGAGAAATTTAAATACCGGGTGAATAAAGTCGCCCTGCCCGTGAACTTTTACAGTGGAGCACAAATCCAGCCTCACGAGGACAGTTTGACCGAGTTACACATCGCGTGCCAACAGAGCGGTTCTCGTGACAGCGGGACAGATGCTTCTCAGGCAAACGCTGCCTTGGCTGCAGGAAGGGCAGCGACACAGCTTGGCTCACGCTGCCGTGTCCCTCTGAACAAGCGGAGGATTAATTATTTTTTTACGCTGTTTACACCGTAGAGTGCGAGGAGTGGAAGTGGACCCCGGTTTTTGTTTCTGTGGATCCTGTGTGGGACGGGAACGCGCGACAGGGGTGCGTGATGCCGCCCCAACAGACGTCAGAGTGAGGCTGTGAAGAGGGTAAGAAAGGCACGCAACTGTCCGGGTATGCTAATCCAATATAGACTAATTTGAAGAAAACGGCTGAATATATTTAGTTCATTGTAGTCTGTCTGATACTGTGGTTAGCTGTCTCTTCCTTTCGTTAAGTTCCCCTGAAAGATAGGCTGCTCTTGTTCTATTATTGCAAAGGCTTCAACTGCATTTGCGTTCACTGTCAAATTGAGAGCGGCTCATGACAAGAGTATAAGAATTGAAATTAGTTTCCCATCATGCCTTGTCTCACATAAATGACTAAACATTTCAAGTTTAACTCATTACATTTAATCCAGACATTACAATTCCTGCAGCTAATATTTTGTGTTACATTCGGCCTCACAGCCTTCCTGACTCGCTGCTACAGGAATGTCACTATTGTTTCAACTTTTCCCCAATTACTGATATACGCCGCGGTGATGCAGCAGATTGTTTTGTGCCCATCTAATGAATGGACATTGACATTTAGAACCTCTCTGAAAACTATGGGTTTTTGCTGAAAGACACAAACGAGCAAATGTCACGCAATTGTTGAAGTTTGAACACTTATTCGGCTTTTTAAAAACGTTTTTCATAGACAATAAAGTTTGTCAGTTGAATTGTACAAGATACATTTGCGTTAACCGCAACAAAAGAAATGGTTTTGAAATAATTCATCATCATCAGTTTTACGACCACATTTTGAAATTACGGTTAAGTCCAAAACATTCCAAGTTATTTAATTTCACTAACATGCTCCTTCTGGCAAAGTATGGACTCTTTGTATGGAGTTTAAGATTAGGAAAAGAACGTTTTTTAATCTCAAAGACTTGGAGTTCATCATCAAAGATAAATCCATTGGTCATTGAGACAGTCATTTTTGGCACACTGTTTTTAGTAAAGATATTTTTTGGATGAACTTTTGGTCTCTTCTGTTGCCTGATGCTTTTGTACAATCAGATTATTTTCATTTTTTGTAACCTTATTGTGAATGATGATTTTAGCTAAATAACGTAATTAAAATGTCAAGAAAATCCTACTTTTAAGAGCTGAACTCCACAGTTGATCAAATTCCCTAAAAACAAAGCAGGCGTGAACTCCAGAGCACTGAATACTAACAATAAATTAAACCAGGGTTGTGTGGTTTTTCTTATCCCCCATCCAATAGATTTTTTTTAAATTGAATTGTATGGAACCTCTCACATTAGAGTTGGAAAATGTTCTGAATAAGCTGCATTCCTCATCTAGAATATCCCAGCATGCAGAGGCTGTTTTAACCTAGGCATGAATTAATTCTGAAACAACAGGAAATTATTTTTATCCAAAAATATGTAATGGAAAGTATTTGTGTTTGATCTGAACATTAATGTGATTCACCTGTTGTCTCTGTACAGCCCTGCTGGGAGGTGAGATGGCTGCTGCTGAATGGGTCTCTGAGCCTTCAGGCAAAGTCATGGTGGTTAAAACAGAGAAGCAGGAATGCAGGGACAACATCCATCAGAGACAAATCATCCTGCAGCTAAATGGGTAAGACGATTGCACGGAGGGGTACCAGTCGTTGCCTTGGAGTTTAAGTCTTAGTCTTCATATCAGAATCACATTTTTAAATAACCAAAGCCTGGAGGGAATACAAAAAAGAAAACAACAAAACCATTATTGTCCCATTATATCTGTGTGTGAGCTAAACTGATGTAGAAAAATGACTGTTTGTATTGTATATGCTGTATATTCTTAAGTTAACGCAACAGTCCAGTGTGCAGAGAAAGTAAAGTAAGGTTTGTTTCATTTCAAATGTGAATTTATGTCGCCCTCTGCAGGCTAAATGGCGACAGTGTCGGTACTGCCACCAGAGTTTTAGCGATAGAGACACATCAAAGTAAGTAAAGGCATGCAAACCAAAAATATTATCTCTTTAAAACTTAATGAACATATACAAAAAACACACATTTTGTTCAATACAACAGAATCATTATGTATAGTACTCAGCATAGTGCTGGGTGATAGTCTCAGTGTTGTAATTGTTCGATTATTCTTCCGGTGATGTTTTTTTTGCTGCATCCTGTGAAGGTGACTGTGAAGCCGATGGAACAGAGATAGAGTATGGCTACCCCATCACTTGTGGAGACAGCGCAGCAGTCCTGCTGTTTAAGAAGTTTGTCTGTCCTGGAATCAATGTACGATGTGTTAAGGTAGGTCAATATGCTGAATGTGTCCAAGAGGTGCTGATTTATTACGGGAGAGCCAACCACGGTGTACTTTTTTTTTTTTTTTTTTAAATCTTTGCTGCATTGTTCCTTTAGATTTATTCTTTCTCTTACTATCTTGACATTTAAATGAGAGACTAATCAGGAAAAAGGTTTTGTCCTTGTGGACACAAGTTCAACTTCTACCAAACAAAAACAACAAAACATGGACTCACACTTTTAGAGAATGTGTTGAACTGTTCCCTATTTCAATAAACTGATCACACTTACAGCGTTTTAAGTTTTTTCTTCTTTTTTTTTTTGCAAAGAAAATAGACAAATAGACAAATAGACCCACCTAATAAATATTTTATGAAACTCCATAATAAGTGACAAAACACAATAGCCTAAATTTCCATCTGAGTATTACTAGCAGAGGTACTGATTGACTTATCAATCAGTTATCAGTAACTTTAGAAATCTTCTTGACATTTAACACATTAGGTTTAGATGCTTCACTGAATCTGCCGCCAACTGAACCACCAACATCGTCCCATCATTGAATTTTGATTTGACACTAAATACCACTTTTCTCCAGACATCAGTTTTTCACCTCTGCTCTTACGTCTTTAACCCACACTAACCATGGTTTCTTTGTTGGTATTAGAAATGCTTTATATTTGGCTTTTCTATACATACATTCTATCTCCTTCTGACATTATCTCTATTCGTCTGTTGTGCATTTTTCAATTTTCAAGGTGTGTGACTTTCAGGTTCCTGTCCCTTTGTGTTTTGACCTTTGTTGCCTGTAGTGCACTGTTTTCTTTTTGCAACTTTTGCAATTTGTTTGTGCCTGTCACCACTTTTATACACAGCTGAGTGCTCCGGCACACTGGGTTGAAGTCCTGCTTTGAAAGACTTTTATACATTTCTTCCATGATGGATCTCCTGTTAGAGAATGATTTTCAATCAAAAAAAAAAAGAAAAAAATCACTTCACATTTTTCTTAGTACATTTTGCAAAGCCAGAATGTTCAGATGAAATAACTCTGTGTCAAATCTGTGATTTCTCCTTTTTCTACAAAAAGAAATGGATGAATGAGCTTCCTCCAAAAAGAGTAATTTATATTTTCATGCTCAGATTCGATACTCCTGTTGCTTGAGGCAGATTTCTCCCACCCTTTGTCGTTTCAAACTCCACAGATTTCCGTCTATATCGTAACACATTTATGATGTTATTAACTTAATACCTTTCTGTTTTTCTTGTATGGTTGATTGAATTGTAAATTATTCCAGAGGAATAAAATGTAGGCTAATCATTACATGGGTTAACAGCCTATTTTACTTTTTATATGACTGTTTACATGATATAAATTGCCCTGTCTTGCTTTTTACAGTTCAATGACCAGCTCATTAGTCCCAAGCAGTTTGTACACTTGGCAGGAAAAGCCACTCTGAAGGACTGGAAAAGAGCCATCAGAGTGGGAGGGGTTATGCTCAGGTAAGATTATGAAACATTAAGAAACATCTGTCTTTCTGTTAACAACCTTTAGTTCCACTTTCTTGTGCCGACTGTCATGTTTATCATTTTAAAACGGATGAATGTCATGTCTTGTGCGGCATCTTGTGAAACTATTCAGAGCCTTAGTGCCATCCAAATTTGTTCATGTTGCAACCACAAACTTCAATGTAATCTGTTGGGATTTTCTGTGATAGACCGATACAAAGCATAAAAATGGAAGGAGAAGCATACCTGTTTATTGGTTCTAAAGAAAAATCTGCATTTGTATTTATTCCCTCTTTGTCTAATACACCTACATAAAATCCAGTGCAACCATGCTTCTTTAAAGACAGATAATAAATAGGGTAAAATGGTGTGTAACTTAAGTGCATTATTCTGTGAAGGCATTAAAGGTTTGGTAGAGAACATTAGTAAAAAAAAAAGCCAACAACATATATTCATGGAGGAGCTGCAAAGATACTCTGCTCAGGTTGAATTGGTCTATTAGATAACTTTTTATACTCCACAAATCTGGCCTTTGAGTAGAGGCAATGAGAAAGTCATTGTTGAAAGACAAGCATTCGAAGTGTCACTAGGAGTTTTCCACAGACCATGAGGCAAAACCAACAAACACGTGGAAGAAGGTACTCTGCTCAAGCAAGACCAAAAGGGAACCTTCTGTGTCATACTGCAATTCCTCCTCAAAACACCATCCCCCCTTTGACAAATGTCGATACCATGATGCTTTAGTAAACTTTTTTCTTTACAATGATAGGGAAGCTGGTTAAAGTTGATAGGAGGCTGCAAAAAAAGACTTGAGAGTGGTGCAAATGTTCACCTTCCAACCGGAAAATGACCCAAAGCCATAGCTACGATGGTTAGGATTAAAGCATATTTCTTTATGAGAACGGCTCAGTCAAAGCCCAGTCCTAAATCCAAGACAGAGTTTGTGGCAGGACTTGAAAATAACTGTCCACATATGGTTTACATCCAATCTGACTGCACTTGAACTATTTTTGTAAAGAAGGAATGTGAAACGGTTTCAGTCTGGGTGAAGCTGATGGAGAGAAAACTCCAAAAGCTTGAAGAGAAAGATGTTTCTACAAAGCGTTGACGTTAGAGGAGTTGCATACAAATGCGTGCCACGCTGATCGTAGTTATTTTTAAAACACATTTTATTGTCATGCGATGGTTCTTATCCACACTACTACTTTGTGTTGGTCTGTCATATGAAAATCCAATAAATGCAGTTACATTTTGTGGTTGCAATATGACAAAATGTGGGGAAAATGGGGTTTTAATACTTTTAGAATACACTGCGGTGAACCACCGTCAGGATTGCTTTAATGCCAAATCCAATGTGCACATCTCTGTTTTAGTGTCTGTCTGAGCCTGCATACCAGAGGCAGTGGGTAATCACAACTGTGATGATAGCAGGATCAAATGGTTCACATATAAGCCTTCGAGCAGCACTTCTCACCTCTTTATCGTGTTTGCACTTGCTGTTGGTGTTGCTGGGAGGCAACACGCAAAACCCAACAGGCGGCATCTGTTCTTTTTATCTTTATGCCTCCGGAGGGCTGACCAACAAGCCCCGCATCAAACAAAATAGCGAGAGGCTGTTAGGATTGTTCAGACCAAACGTCTCCCATGCGACTACGAAAGCAAAAACAAGAAAAAAAAAGAAAAATGTTTTCTCAGACACTTTGCCATATTATTGTAACCTGCCTGTCCCCTTTGCAGGAAAATGATGGACTCTGGCCAGATAGATTTCTACCAGCATGAGTCAGTGTGCAGCAACACCTGCCGCAGCACCAAGCTCGATGTGCTGATGAACAGCACCCGGCCTCCTCCAGGGGCCTTGGTGCAGCCAAGCCTGTCGTGTTTGGCTCTCGAGCCTGTTGGGGGACAGCTGGCTACTGTGACAGGTAGATTACAGTTGGCACTTAAAGTTTCCTGTTTTCATACCAATCACATATGCTCTAACCACTGTTTTTAGCATTGACATTTCAAACCAGTAAATTGAAGATCACTTTGAAACCAAGCACCAAAATATGATAAAT